TTTTTTCTATAGATAGTTAATATTGCTAATATAGATGATAAATAGGAGTGCCGTTTTCAAGGGTTTTTTGTAGTACATTATGATACTGTCCTTTGCCACACTTTGAAATGATGTTTTGAAAATTATTTGTTCTTTGTTCATTAAAATGTACTTTACCTCAGCAAATGTGTTACAGGTTTTTGCATGCAAATTATTTGTTGCTTTCTCTGATATTTATGTTGAATCTGTCTTCTTTCCATCCATCCATTTGCCTCAACTTATCTGGAGATGGGTCACAGGGGCAGCAGCCTAAGCAGGGAAACCTGAGCCTCCCTCTCCCTAGATACCTCCTCCAGTTTTTCCAAGGCCTGGTGAGAGACATAATCTCTGTCAGATAAAACTGAAAGCAGATTCACGGCTTTACACACAGTTTATAATTTCATTCAAAAATATTTTGTGGATGTTCAGTGTTTACTTATACTGTAAAAAAAATACTTCCCCTACGTGTGTGTATTAATAATAATTTATGTTGAAAATACACATCTATGGAGCATCCATTCATTTGGTTAAAATATGAAACATAATGATAATACTTTATTAATGATTTTTTTTATTTCCATTTCTTCATTAAATAATTATGCATTTACAAAATTATGATTCACATAAATATAAATGTAAATATTGTTGGACTGAGGAGACTCTTTAAAATCATCAGGGAGCTCCTCCCCTGCCAAAAGAATAAGAAACCTGACAGTTAATGGTCAGGTGTTCCCCTGGCTGCATAATCATGGATGGGGCTATGTGGGAATGTGGAAATTTTAATCCTGTGAATTGAAAAGTATATTTCATAATAAATTATAAATTATATAAGATTCTGTGTTGATCTAACTAGACTCATAGAAAAAGCTGTTTTCATTTTTTCACCTGAAGTGATTCACTTTATTTCAGATACAAAAGGCTGTTTCTGCACGTTTTAACTGCAATATTTATTCATACATTGTTTTACTTTCTTATTTATTTTTTTGTGATATCAAATGCAAATGCAAATACGCTTTACTTTAGCTTTACCTAAACAAAATTAGGATATTTTTGTTAACAAACATGTTTGTTGTTCTCTCTGATTGCAGATGTCAGACACAGAAAAACATGTAGCGCTCCTCAGAAAATTCAACACATTCCCTTCTTGTTAAGTAAAACCAAACAAATAAGTGTCCACAGCTAAGTGTTGATTAAGCAAAGCATTTTACTTCAAGTGATAAGATAAGAGACATCATCTGCAGCTGTTTTGTATTGATCTTTGTTTGAACCCTCTTTAAGGCCATTAGTGGTCTGATGACTCCTTCTCTGGTTGATTTACATGTGTTCAGACGGTGTGAGGTTTTTGTTCATGTTGTCGAGATAGGTGGAACAGAGAGAGATTGAAGTCCCCCTGGCTTCTCTCCCTAAATCTGAGAGAGCCATATTTACTAATAGTAAATCATCTTTATTTATTTAATTAAAGACATAAATAAAAGTACAAGTGATTAATATGTTGAAGGAGAAATGAGTCTGAGAATAGGAAAAAACACTGCCCAAAAGAAAACCACTGGATGCCCTCTGACTCAACTCCAAGTCCATCGGATTACTTTCAAGCAATTAGGATTAAGTTCAACCAATCTAACATACACCAGCCAATATAACTAATAGTCCTTTCCATGCATGCTGGCTGATCCAGGCTATGTGAAATCTGCCAAAAAATAAGAGACCTGACAGGTGATGACAACATGTTGTCACGAGAAGATTGGTAACTCGAGAGGTTTTGAGTTTGGATAGATTCTATTATTCTGTCTGGAAAAGGGATCACGTACCTGGAAATCACATCAGCTTCATTATTGTCATTATTCACCCAACTGTATTCTTTTTGAAAAGGCAGCATTTACAATAATTGAACGACTGAATTTACTCTGTTTTTGCTCAAAACTAATAACGTCAATACTAAAAGATTTATTTTTAAAACAACTGATCATTTCTTGTGCATTAACAAATAATATAAATCCTAATGCATTATGTTTATTAAAAGATAAACAATTCAATGGGCCTCCATATAGACTAAGGCTATTGTCTACATTTATTTTAACGTTTTTACTGGAGATAATAAACTTACTATATGCCCTCCTTTAATGCAGTCATGATAAAAAAATTCAAAAAACAAAACAACATACTGGAAAAATTATTATTTTTTCCTTGGAATACTTTTAAATGTATTTGTGCAGGTGTACTGCTAGCATACAAGATTCTGTAGTATGTAAACTTTTGTTTGTCGTTTCTGGTTTGCATAAAGTACCCTTGATGTTTTCAGTTTCTGCAGATGTGTGAGAACGAAGATCTAATGTGATACTATAGGGAAATAACTTCTGAGGAACTGAAACTGTGTGTGAAAGCACGGTAGCCTTATGAGCTAATGAATATGCATGTGACCAGAGACAAATAAATATGT